TTTTTTCGCGTAATTCTGCACATTTGCATAATTTTGGAATCCCCGCGTTTTTTCACGTTTTTTCCCTTTTTTTAAAACAAAACTATTAATTTTATAAATTAACGCCTCGCCATGTGACTAAAGGGAAATAATCACCGTAATAAGCCGTAATAAATTTTATTTAAGTAAAAAGTTGGTTATTTCCCTTGCTAGAAGATCTTGGTTATGGTTTGGGATTTTGTTCCTTGAGCATGTTCAATTTTTCAATCCATCAAAAGTTGTTGTTCTCATGTCTGCTGATGCTACATGTATGACAGGTGTTCCTGGTTTTAGTAATGTGCCAGCATCAGAGGTCCAGATGTCCTTTTTTTTTTTTTTTTACATTTTTCTTTCCAGATCTAGATCTAGATCTACAGCTGAAAGTTACAGAGATTATATTTTTTAGTTGCTTTTTTTTTTTTGTACAGATGTGCATTGTTTTCTTTCCAAATACACTACAAATTACTGATACTGATGTGTTCTGTTTTAAATATTTCTGTACTTAAAACATAAAAGTCATGAAAATTTGTGTTAAAAAAGTGCAAAACATGTCGCGAGAGGTGTTACGGTAACTTGCAGAATTGTGCTCCAAAAACAAACTCGGCGGAATCCGACCTTCCATTTCAGAATTGCAACACCTACAGGCCACACTGTACCCACTTGTGGCCTGTATACAAGAATTAAAATTCGTCCTGGCTTCAACCATAGACTCAAGAGGATTTACTGCATATCATCACACCACCAAATTACCTCCTCAAAATAACTAACTAAATGACTTAAAGGTGCAGCTTCCAAAACCCTTTATTTTTCTAGGTGACTTTAACTTCAACGCCCACAGCCCCCTTTGGGGAGACAAACCCACAGACCAGAAAGGAAAAATAATAGATTTTTCTATTCCAAAACAGCATCTGCCTCTTAAATGATAGGTCACCAACTTACAGAAACAGATCCACTTTTGACACTTCATCCCTTGACCTCACCTTTTGTACCTCTGACCTAGTCCCAGATTTTGAGTGGTCTGTGCTGGATGACCGTACAGACCATTTCCCAATTTTTCTAAAAAAAACAATAGCCTCCAAAACGACCCGATCTCAGAACGCTTCAACTTCAAAAGAGCACACTGGGACGTGTTCGCCCCTGAATGTTCCCCAGATTCTGAATCCCACTTTTGACCTCAACTACAAAAAAATCCACGAAAAGCTTCTAGAAATATGCCACAAACGCACACCAAAAACAAAAACAAAACCTCAGAAGAACAAGATCTGGTTCTCTAAGGACTGGGATGATGCAGTAAAGAAAAAGAAGGCAGCATGTCAAAAAGAAGTCGACAACACCACCACAGAAAACAAAATTAATTACCTAAAAGGTCGAGCTGAGGCACGTAGATGTCTCAGTGAGAGCAAAAGACAATCGTTTCGAAAATACATCTCCAAAATGAACAGTCAGACACCAAGTTTTTAAAATCGCAAAAAAAAAATTTTGGAAGACGCACAGACACCACCCGGCACATCCAGAGGCCGGAAGGAACCACAGCTGAAACACAGGTAGACATCGCAGACACAATAGCTACATCTCTTGCCAACAACTCATCCCAAGCAAACTACAACACCACCTTCCAAAACATCAAATCTAACACCTAAACTTCCACTCAAACAACAATGAAACCTACAACGCAGACTTCACATCAGACGAACTAACATCGTACATCTCGGACCTGGGCAATACAGCCCCGGGTCCGGATGACATCCACAACCAGACCATTAGACACTTACCCACAGAAACACTTACACTCCTACTAGACAGAAACAACGTCATGTGGCGGTCGCACCTTTACCCAAACCAAACAAAGACCATACACACCCATCCAATTACAGACCAATAACACTAACGAGCTGTCTGTGAAAATTTATAGATAATAATATGATCCACAGACGACTCATGTGGTTTCTGGAGACGACGGCTCGCTGAGCGGTCTCCAGTGCCAATTCAGGAAAACTCGATCCACTCTGGATCACCTGGTATGCTGGGAGACCTTTGTACGCGAGACGTTTGCTGAAGGAGGCCACATGATCGCCATCTTTTTCGACCTAGAAAAAGCCTTCGACACAACCTGGAAGTACGGCATTCTCAGAGACCTGCACGCTCTTGGAATACGCGGTCACCTCCCTGCCTTCATTGGCAATTTCCTGAAAGAACCGTTCCTTCCAAGTTCGTGCCGGATCCTCCCTTTCAGATCCCCACCAACAGGAGGAAGGTGTCCCCCAGGGGAGTATCCTTTCTCCTCTCCCATGTGAAATCGAAAAAGATTCCATCTTAAAAGCACTCCAAAATAGCATAGACAACTCGTTATACGTTGACGACTTCTTGATATGCTGCCTTTCGAAAAATCCTCAACAAAGATCTATGGAAAGGCAGCTGCAAACGCAGCTGCACAAACTTGAAAAGTGGGCAAACAATAACGGTTTCAAGTATTCTCCGTCAAAGACGGCTGCAGTACACAAATACTTCTGCCGATCAGGCAGACGTGTACTGCAGCTGGATTTAACACTATACGGGGAAAGGATTGCCGTACAGGATCAGGCTCGTTTCCTCGGCGTTATATTCGACAAAAAACTCACATTCACCTGACTAACCCTTTGCTATCCACGAAATGAATGCATTCCTGAGATACAGAATCTCTTGCAAAAATTGAGTCGGACAGACACAAGAGTGAAACGCTGACAGTAGTAGTTACGACATAGAAATCGCCCGGTTCCGATGGAAAATTGGAAACCAAACTGTCGTATGTCATTGTTACGATATGTACAACACCGAGATTTGAAACCAAAGTATCGTAACTAGACTTACTACAGTTTGGATGCAATTTTTTTGCCAAACTCAAGATACGACTAAAAAACTCTGTGACATAGCTGCCTTAATATTATAGCTATAGATACATCGTTTAAACACAAGGTGGGCGTCGTTTTGTTCTTTAACATATGTTTTTTCTTCCAAAAAGTCGTATCTTGAGTTACGATAGTTTGGAATCGTACCCTCGATATAGAAAACACATCTTTATAATTTGTCGCATGAGCAGGAACATTGAAATTTGTTTGGTCTTTTGGAATTCAGAGTTGCATGCAAAATATCAGAGCAATTCACCACTTAGAAGTGTAATGAGGCCCGCAAGTTGCCCATTTGGTGTTGCCCAGACTATAGATCTAGATGTACTCTATATTGACCAGAATAAGACAACGTCATAAAAATGGAGTTTATTACAGAAACTGAGAAAGCTTCCACAATATTCAGACAGTGGCGCAAAGAAAAGTAGGTTATTAGAAACGATGGCAACTAGTACTGGCGTTTCAAATAGCACGGGGCTAATCAGAACACCTCTTTATATCATAATCCGAAAACGGCGCTTTGATTAGTGCGGCAGCTATTCAGAACGCGGCGTTTCAAATAGCATCGGCCATTATATATACAGGGTGATCCAAAAAAAACAAACCCTGTACAACTTGTTTGGTAAATATCTTCCTCCATACTGAAGTTTGGCGTTTCAGATTTGAACATAACGTTTGGAAGCCAAAAGGAATTTGTCTGATAAGTCCATAGAATTGTTTCGCTCTTTATAGCGCATTAAAAAAACAACCCATTTTCAATCTTGCCGCCATTTTCATTGCATGGCGCACCAGTTCGCATTAGGCTTACCACAAAAAGTTAGAACAATCGCGCCATATTGCAAGCTACAGCAGTCTAACAAGTCAACAGAAGTCTGCAGATGTTATTTTTCCCAACATTTGTTTGTCTGCTGAGATCATGGCTACGTTTAGTAAAGAGCAGAGAGCTTTTTGTTTTGACCATCACCTCTCCACAAACTCACCATCCCTGACCTTTCGTAAGTTCTGCGCACGGCATGGAGAGAATGCTTAGGTGCCCTCAAGACCTTTGGCGTCATGAGTAGAGAAGTTCCGTCAGTTTGGATCTATAGCGAATCAGAACTAAAAAGTTCTTTAAATAATGACCACTTTGGGACGAACACACGCCATGCGCAGCCCTTTAAACGTCACCAGAGTGCAGATTTCAGTAGCCGAGTCCCATGAGGCATCTGTCCGTAGACGATCTGCAGCTAGGACTTTCCTACACATCAACAGTCTACATTCTCATGGCAGATCTTAACCTACGACTATACCATGTTCATCTTCGCTAGGCCGAGATGACATGGATCAGAGCATGGCAATGTGTTCATGACTTCTCGATTGTCTTGTAAAGAGGGATCATTTCCTCGATGACATTTGGTTTAGTGCAAAGCCCATTTCATCCTGAGGGATATGTTAACTCCAAAAATGCTGTGTATTGGGCACCCTACTTTACTGTCTCTAGAAGCCACTTCTGAGTGAACATGTACAGTGTATGTGGCTTTAAAAACTCATGGTTTAGCCGGTCCTTGTGTTAGGGCGCCACTGAACATTTCGAACGACGCGTTAAAAATGTGTCGAGTCTAAAGGAGGGAATGTGGAGCACTGCTTCTAGGAATTTCAGAATGAAATCATTAGGTTTTTAGAACTCTGTAAAAGAAATTAAATATTGTTTAAATGTCACAGGGATGGAAAATTAATGTCAAAGAGAAAATAAAGAAAAAGGTCGACTAATCTTTTCACGACTTCTTTAACAAGATTTTTAAACATTAGTGAACTTTGCGTTTTGGGGTGCTTTTTTCTTTCAGCCGTTTCCGATTTCAAAACATGTTTCTTCTTCGTGGAGTTTATATCAAACAAATTCCTTTTGAATGAATTATGTCTGTTCCAAATTACAGCATTGTAGAACAATTGTTGCGCGAGATATTCAGAAAAAAGTTGTTAAGTTTTTTTGGGATCACCCTGTATATATATATATATATATATATATATATATATATATATATATATATATATATATATATATATATATATATATCCCTATTTACTGACATAGGGTGCTTTTTGGGACACCTAAGTAGTGGAAAAACTCCGTCTTTGAAAAAGGTAGCCCGAAAATCGGATGCCCCAAGTGTTTACCCTGTTTGTACTCCAACGGCAAGTCTTACAAGCTAGCCAGATTGTCAAAGTGTGTGAACCAGTGACAACTTTTAATGGGAAAAACCCAAAAGACAAAATCTGGACACGTTAAAATTATATCTGGTCACAAAAGAATGGAGGAATTGGGTGACCCAGTGTGCTTTCCTCACATAGGGCTCCCAGTTGTATGTTTGTAATTTCTGTCTTATTTTGAGGGTTGTTTTCGCGAAATGCACACGGCAAACTCGAAACACTTATATCTCACTAACAGTAACGAAAAAACGCCGGGAAAATGCCTCAATAGTTTGTACTCAGAATTGGTGTCGTGAAAGTACCACTGGCAAAGATATACAAATCTATTTTTAGAACAACACCGATGACTTGCTCGGCGCTCTTGGCTGAGGCTGTCGTGTGTCCTGACCCGCCGTTTCTATATGGCCCCAGAATTTTTTGGACTTAAATGCCAGTTTAGGAAAAAAAAACCTTGGAACTTGTCATATCTTTTAAAACTGGTCCACAATTGCAAGATATGTGGAAAGCATAATAATATCAATAAATTATGCTATAAAATGTGTTTCAAGATTTCCCCTCCTTGTGTTTCTTGTGACATGTAAAACGCTCAACCAAAGTTGTTAAATCAGCAATCGTTCATGTCAGCGAGTTTTAACTTTCGAACACGCCAATCTGGGTACCGGTACTTTCGATTCCACGAATTTCACGCAACAATTTTAACTTAACAATGGCCTCTCTGTCTCATCGGTCTCACCGTCAAAGACAAAAGCCAATGAGTTATGGCTTGAGAATGCTGGATGCAGCTCTTCAAAAGCACAAGGCCCCTACTACTCATGGTAAGTAAACCCTAAAATGATATTCACCTATTGATATTGTAATCCTCTGTGTGTGTATGTTGGAGGAGGGGGTGCCTGGGACATGGTTGGTATTCTGCCGGGCAATGTGAGAATTATTACTGAGAATGTAAAAAAAGTAAGCCTAACGTTGATGTGGAAAGGTACCACCTTCACTTTTTTCTCAGTGGTCAGCAAAGTGATCTTTAGGTTGGTTCACAGAGTCTGGGAATGTAGGCCTTCGGTTTTGACAGGGAATAGCAAGAGCAGCCTTTTTGTTAAAATTACAGTCACTGGGAGTAGCCAGTTAGTTATTTTTAACAGCCTCTATTGGCTCACTATCTATTATTTTTTAATGTAATCATGTCGTTTCGATTCTAGATCTCTAGATTCTAGATCTAGATCTATTCATTTTGTTTGTATTTTTACGTGAATTTAGTCAATGACGGTTCTCTTTCAGCTGACCAGCAATCTTCATCTACTTCAAAATTTGACCCCTTTGATGTAAACCCAGAAGACCCTTTTGATGTTAATCAAGAATGCCCCTTTGATGCGATCCCAGAAAGCCCTATTGATCATGTGAACCCAGAGTACTTTGTGGGTGGATCCAAATCAGTGAGTAAGGGTAACAGTAAGGGTAACAATCAGTTCAAATCAGTAAGGGTAACATTGTAACATACATACTCTAAACTTGGTTGCTTAGGGGTGACATGGATTTTATGGACCCTTTTGTTGATGATGGCTGCTTTATAAATACCAACACTTTCTAAACCCAGCAATGTTCAACTACATAAAGGATACTTTGTCAATATGTTCACCTGTTATGGCTCCACTGCCATCACATTATCATTAATAGAAGCAGTTAATCATGCTTGCATTTTTGTGGTCCTATGCCTCTCTTGACTGAAGTTGAGAAGCCTAAGGAAAGGTCTCTTTGGGGATAAATTATAAGCATTCCATTTTTTAAAAACATTTTTTAGTTTGCAAAGAAGAAGAAAATGTAGGATGGATTTTTTTCTTTGCTGTAGGCTAATTTGTCACATTACATTTTCACTCAACAGATTATCAGCAAAGCACAAGCTCAACTATATGAGGAGGATTTGGATATGGATGATGATGGTGACATTGATGTAAGATACATTTTTGTTCAATTTGGTAAGGGGGCGAAGGGTACATTTAATGTGTTGGCAATCATTAAGCCAAAATCAAGGCGAAAAAAGGATAGCTATTGAAATGCTTGAAAAATTCTTTCTCATGTGCATCCAAGAGGCACAGTTTAAAAAAATTCCCCAGGACAAGTCCACCCACTGGGCTTTATGAAATGTTTAGCGCAAAAAGCATGGCAGTGCATAGGCATACCCATTCCCGCGGTACGTTCATTATAACTACCTCTCAATATCATATATTGAGATCTGCAACAACTTCTTTCTTTTAGAACCATCATCTTTCCTGGACTTCTTCTATTGTTTTTCACTTTCTTGTGACTAGCATTCCTGGTTGTGTTGATTATCAAAGCAGATTATATATATATATGCTTTGTGAGTTTCAAGACTTAACACTTCATTCCTTTGGAGGTGGGAATGGCATTAAAGCCCTAATACAATATCCTATTTTGTTGCTCGCGACTCCAAACTTTTCCTTTAATTCCAACTTAAGCTTGTAAGAAGACAAAAGAAAACATTTCACTCTGCTTTATTAATGGGTTCATTCATGATAATGTAGAGTCAATCTTTCAAATCGTTTGCTTGTCTGACTTTATGAGCATTGAATGACATTTGGACTGCTTTCATTTCATAAGTCTTGATCAAAACTACATATATATATAATGGTAAAATATAACGATTTGTTAATGCAAATGACAATAATTTTCTTTTCATTTTATGCTCACATTAGAATAGACAATGCTCTAATTCGGATGACTTATTGTTTTTGATGTCTACAGTATATACCACAACCTGAAACTGATAGTGAAAGTGAAGTGGAAATTCCTATGCAGGTAAGGAAATTCTTTAATCCTATTCAACACTTGTCGGTCTGACAGATACAGAGCACCCTTTTTCTAATAATGACTTTACTTTGCATTGCACCTGGAAGCTGTAAGTCCCAGTATGTTCCTGAAATATTGCGGGGCAACTCATGGTCAAGTAATTTTTTTCACACAAGCCCTCCAGTGTCTGACCGCTGACCATCAATTTAGGATATTCCTATTCGACGCTCCCATGATCTCTGCGACCCAGACTCCAAACATAGTGATTTATAGTCCCACCTGACTAGTGCTTTCTGTGGTCTCTCAGAACCAGACTTTTTACTAGTGTTTTTTTGTGTGTATGCACTTGAGAAAAAGGTTGCAAGCACTGAGTATGGGGTTAGTGTGAGTGTGTATTGCAGTGTTTGTTAAGTGTGCGCTCATGCGTCTGTGCATTCAAATGTTGTGTGTGTGTGTAAAAGAGTATTTTTTTAGGGGAGAGGTGTAAAGTAATATGCATGATCTTGACACAGTGAAAGAGAGGGAGAGAGAGAGAGAGAGTGGGTGAGTGAAAGCTCAGAGAGAGAGAGAGAGGGGTGGGGGGGGTGGGGGGGGGCGAATGCATCATTTTGTGTCTATGTTTTATGTTTTGTTTGGTTACTAGTTTTATGTTCCCTGCAACACTGTAAGGTCATTTAAGAAACGGGCTACTTCAACCCTGCTTGTCTGAGCCAACCCGGGCTGAGAGGGAAAAAAACAACAGAAGATATTATTTAGACAAGACAAGCTTGTAAGTTAAAACATGTATGAAATGAATTTCAAAACCAATATTTTTTCATCTTACATGTCCTTTCAAGTTACACTTGATGGTTTGCAAAGCACTGCATAGGCCTACTTCATAAAACCAAGCACCACTCAGACAGAAGTAAGGCATGCTCTCTAGAAGCCTCCTGGCCTGGGCAGGCACTCAAGGCACATGCATGGGCTTTTACTCACCATGTCATTTGGCTTATTAGGTCAAACTATTTCTTTTCTTTTGTTACTTCTTAATTTTAAGTAAGAAGGCCAATGAAGTAGATGACATTGCCATGCTTTTCATTCATCTTATAGAAATGCCGCACTTTGTGTTCACAGGATACCGGTACTAGCCCTCCAGAGTGTGGAAGTCAGGCCGAAAGCCCTAATGCAGAAAGCAAACAGAATGAGCCGATTGACAAGAAGGTAATTACGTAGACTTATTGAACAATTCATTCAATTCATTCTCACATTGAACTACAGTGTAGAACGGATATAACGACATTGGCGGGACCGCCACAATCATGTCGTTATAAGAGAATGTCGTTATATCAGAAATAAAGGAAAAGATAAAGGAAATCACTGGTTTGGGCCCCACATCGATCCCTGATGTTGTGAAATGTAGCAAACAGTGATGGTCGAGGGTTTGGGGCTTTTGTCGAGGGCATTATCTCGCAAGGTTTGGAAAACGTCAAAATTTGATGGTCTGTTTTTCCATGCTCTTCATAAGTTTCTTCAGCATTTATTGTTTTTGGTCAAAAGAAGACCCTTTCTGTGCCTGTTTATGTCGTTATATCCGAACGAGGCACGATTTTACATCGCTATAAGAGAATTTTTTCTATTTATAACATAAGGAAAAATTCGGGACTTCAGAATCGTGTCTTTATATCCGATATGTCGCTATATCCGATGTCGTTATAAGTGAACTCCACTGTATGTCTTTTGTGGTAGTTAATTGCCATGAATAAACCAAATAAACAATAAGCTAGGAGTTTCTTAGCTGCTTAAGCCTGGAGTTTAATAGTGGCTACAGACGAATAGTAGGCCCTATAAGTTCATCTTTACGTTATTTCTTCTCCATCTCAGAAACTTACAGGTCTCATTTGTTTTTGTAATCTCCATCTGTACTCTGCTCGATTAAATATTTGCTTATACAGGGTTTTAATTTTTTTTTTTCAGAAACCAAAAAGGCTTTGCAAGTATTGCAACACATGGAACTCCCATCTAACACGTCACTTGAAGCGTAAGCACAAGGATGAAGAAGAAGTTGTTCTTGCTCTCAAGTTACCCAAAAAAGACCAGGAAAAGGCATTTGGAGCGCTGAAGAGGGAAGGCATTTTTATGGCCAATATGAAACGTCTTGAATCAGACAAAAGTGCCCCTCTTATTAGAGAAAGAAGCCAGGGTGTTGGTGATACTGTTTTGTGCTCTGGATGTAGGGGTTTTTATGATGCCAAGAGCATCTTTAAACACAAACGGCTATGTGAAAAAAATTTGTCAGACCTTTCAAAGACAATAAAGTTGAATGAATTGTCAGATAATGCAACTCTAGCTGGAGTTGATAGTGACTTCAAAGAAAACATTCTTGATAGGTTCAGAAAGAATGAAGTGGGAGAGATTTGCAGGACAGATTTTGTGACACTTTTGTTTGGGAAGAAACAGTGGGCTAAGTCCGTTAAAAAAGAAAGAAGTATTACAATGTCAGAAATGAGGGTTCTAGCTAATCTAATTTTGATATTTAGACAGGAGTGTGGTGATGAGAAAGCATCTGGACATGACATTTTAGATTACAGATGGTTTGATTTTCTGGAAAATGCAATTAAAAAAATGTGTGCAAAGGACTGTGGGCAGGACAAGGCTGGATTGAAGGTTAGAATCGGTTTTGTTCTCAAAAGAGCAGTCAAAGTTATGAGAGGTTTTTTTGTGATGAAGGGAGACACAGAAAAAGAAGCTGACATGTCAAGATTTTTGAGTGTCTTGGAGCTCAACTGGGATTTCATTTTCTTCACTTCTCAAGTTGAGTGTGAACAGAGACGAGGTGGGCTCCGAAAGCCCTCAGCTATGCCTGATGAGGAAGACATTTCTAAATTCAGGACATTTATTTTGGATGCAATGAAAAACCATTTAGAGCAGTATGAACTATGGGACAAGCACACTTTTGTCAAGATGAGAAATCTGGTGGTGGCACGACTTACAATGTTTAATGCTCGAAGAGGGGGTGAGCCTGCAAGATTGACATTGAATGAATGGAAAGAAGCATTGACTGGTGCTTGGATTGATCCCAATTTAGTTGAAAAAATTGACGACCCTATGGAAAAGCACCTTATTGAAAATCTGAAGCTTGCTTATCAGTCAGGCAAAGGCTCAAGAAAGATGGTCCCAGTTCTCATTACAGAAGACACTCTTGAACCCATCGCAAAGCTCCTATCTGAACGAAGCAACTGTCAAGTCTCAAAACATAATGTGTTCCTTTTTCCCAATACTGGTAGTTCCCTTGACCATGCAAGTGGTTATCATTGTTTGAAATCTGTCGTGGACATCTGCCCAAGCCTAAACAAACCAAATCTCCTGATTGCTGACAAATTTCGACATAGAGTGTCTACCCTTTATGCACAACTTGAACTGCCAGAGGAGCAGAGAGATATTTTTTATCGTCACATGGGACACTCTGAAACAATCAACAAAAATGTATACCAGTGTCCTCTGGCTGTCAGAGAGGTGACCCAAGTAGGAAAGTTCCTCATAAACAATGATGGGAGAGGATCCTTGGTACAGACAAACACTGATCAAGGGGGAACTTCTTATATTAGGCAGACTTGTGAGACGGATAATCTGACTAATGAAGTAACCACACAAGAAGATGTTTGTCAGAATGTTTCTCAGGCTGATGAAATGACCTTAGAAGAGGATGCTGGTCAGAATGAATTAGCGCAAAGGGCAGAGTCAGTTTCCAAGAGAGCAAGAAGATACACTCGATGGACTGAGGAAGACTGTGCATTGATAAAAACTCACTTCAAACACTACATTACTGATACTTCCAATAAGGGGAGGCTGCCAGGGAAGAAGGAAGTTTTGGCATTTTTGGAAAAATACAAAATTTTGGAGGGACACAATGACAAGATTAGTCTTGTCAAAAGTAAAGTTTTTAATGAGAAGACAAAATACAGAAATGGAAAGTTTAAGAAAATGTAAAACGTAAAAGATTGCCTATATGCATTCTGAACTCAACATTTTAAGTCTCATCGGGATAAATAGCATGAAGAAGACAAGCAAATCATACAGTCAAACCTGTCTGTAACGGAATCCATTGCAATCGTTGTTTTGGTAAAGCGTGCAACATCTGTGACAGATAGAGATTACTTTGGCATGGGATGAGACCAAGAGTGGTGTAGGACCAATAAGTACAAACAAACAATAATACAAATCCCATTTTTTTTCCACCACTTTTCATTAAACCTGATAGTAAACCTGTCTTACGTGTCCATTTTGATGACCTATGTGTGATGCTTTCTCTTCATATAATCTCATCAAAACTGTGATGATAAAACCTGACTTAAATTTAAATGTCCATTTGTATGACCTAAGCGATGCTTTCACCTCATAATAATAATAATAAAATAATCTTTATCAAAACTGTATGATGTTAAAAGCTGACTTAAGTGTCCCTTTGGATGACCTATGTGATGCTTTTTCTTCATATAATCTTCATCAAAACTGTGTGATGATAAAAGCTGTCTTAGGGGGTCCCTTTGGATGACCTATGTGATGCTTTCTCTTCATATAATCTTCATCAAAACTGTGTGATGATTAAAGCTGTCTTAAATTTAAATGTCTATTTGTATGACCAAAGCGATGCTTTCTCTTCATAATATAATCTTTATCAAAACTGTATGATGATAAAAGCTGACTTACGTGTCCCTTTGGATGACCTATGTGATGCTTTCTCTTCATATAATCTTCATCAAAACTGTACTGGTGTTGAAATTTGTTTATCTCGCCTCATTGAGTTGACTTGATATATGATATGTAGTCAGCAGTTGTCACTTTTGTTTTTAATGGTTTATGTAGACTTTCCCTTGGCAATAAAATGAATATGCAATCAAAGTAAAGCTTATCAGAATTTGGCATTTTCCTTTCCTTGTTTCTGAAAAACTATTGGTCAGTTCGGACAAACAACAGTAGGCCTTTTCAAACTACATGTACATCGCAAGTAGGAAAGGAAAAGTTTGTGTAGGTGTCAATATTTTCTATTTCTTTGCAGCATGTGTAGAGTGCAATGTGAACCCGTACAGCTGTAGTTTTAAACTTGTACAAGAAGCATTGAAGTTAGCATCAAGTCCTTCAGTTGGAAATTTCAATAATGGACAAAATGGGATTGATTTGAATTTGACAAACTTATCAGGGATACCTAACAAACTTTTCACTAAGGGAGTTTTCTCACATTATGCACTAAATGCTTTTAATGCATGGTCACTTTCCACTGTCATAGAAATTGCATGTTACTTACTAGTCCCATTTTATTTCATCAATCAATAATAAATGCAATAATTATCGTGTCATAAATCTTTGTGTTATAGTTATTGTTTCTTGTTGGTGTTGTTGCTATTGTTATAAACTGTACAAAAACTACCGTTTTAGTGGTTTGTCTTGGTTTTTAATTTTTGTCTTGATTTTTCATTTTATGTTTCATGCCATATCACGGTTTGGTGGGCTGCTCCACAACATGGCATTGGATCGAAGGGCAAGAGCCCAGGGATTGCTGGATCAATAAAAACAACAACAAGCCATCTTTTATCACACTGAAAGTCACAAGGAAAAAAATGGATCTTCTTTCTAACGCCTATCTCCGATAAAACAGGGAACAGAGCAATCAATATCACACTGTATCAGAAGAAATTTGCTGTCAGTTCGAACCCTGTCGCTTGATTCAGTCAATAACTCCACTTCTTGCTACACCAAGTGTGTTCAGTCATGCTGTTCTGAAAATAATTACATGTATTTTACATGTAATTTTAACAGTTTCGATTGGGTGACCTTCTCTTTCCATTATATCTTACTAAGTGTTCCTATTGCCCAAATCTGGTTGCTGGTACTGGTACTGAAATGACCTCAAAGTGTCAAAAGTACCCAAAAAACTCAAAACAAAATAAGTTAAAAGATGCTTTCGAAATCGTTAGTTAAAATCGTTATCTATTAGGGCAAATAGACTTCTAGTTCTTGATTCTTTTGCTGGCTAGTTATTGTAGGGACGGACAGGTCGCAACCTGCGACTGAGACCAAATTTCGGTTTTCGGTCCTATCTCTGTGTTTGTACATAGTGACCAAGATCCTTTTTACATTGATATGAACAATTCTAATGATTGAAATCAGCACCAATCAAAGGAGAATTGCTCGGATAGATCACTCAGAAAAAAATCATAAGAATTGGTCAAGGGATGGCAGAGCTAGAGCGATTTGAATGAATGCAAAATCTTTAAATCGCTCTTCTCCAGCTCAAAACAGGAGAAATCTATCTTGGTCAGTATGCGAGGAGAGCGACGATATGATGGTAAAACCTCACTCAAGGACTGTTTGGGGTAATAACCTGTTTGATTTTTATCCGGTGTGTGAATACAGAAATTTACAACAAAGTTACGTATATTGAACTTCAATACAGACTGAAACTGAGGCAGAAACGTATGGAGAGACTGGTCACTCAGCGGGTCACCTATGTCACAAAATTATTATATATTTGAGAGGGGACCTAAGTGAGGATTAAAGGAGTGAAATTTTATGGAAGACCTAAGTGGGTGCATTCGTTTAGAAAAACTTTGGTCATCCACTTAGGTTTTGTATGTTTTGAATTTGAAGAGTGATCAAGGATTGGTTGATTGGGGTTGATGAATATTACTCGGGCTGCCGTTTATGCATAATTTATTTTAATTTCAATGTTTTAAACAAGATATATGCCAGGACTCCCCAAGTCATATTTTTACACTGGGCACCCCATGTCGGGAAATAGAGTTATATATATATATATATATATATATAATATATTTTTATTTTTTTTAATTAATTTTTTTTTTTATTAATTTTTTTTTTACTGAGTGACAGTGACAAGAAAGACCGCGAAGTCGTACCCCTCATGAAGGGTCCCGTGCGCAGGGCGTGTATGCCCAGCAAGATCCCGATGTTGTCAGCATCCAGGCGCTGTTGGAGCTCTGTGTCTGTCTTGAAGCTGTCCGGGTCGTCAAGGTGACAGGCGAATCCCCCGCTGGACATCTGCTGTCTGGAGCATACACAAACAAACAACAACGGGACAATTGCAGTTGAACCTGTACATGACGACAGCTTATTGTTGTGGTGAAATATGGCCGTTTCAAATAGGACAACATCATTACAGTACATAGTAAAACTACAAGGGGGAGTGGCAAGTGGTCGTTTATATTATAACTATTAGGTTGTCTTGTACAGGTGATTGTTAGAGCAGCTTTGATTGTTTTATCGATTAATAAGTAGTAGGATTTATTTCCATGATTATATTAGGACATTTCTTGTTAGTGATCGGTAGAAGTGCATATTGAAATAAATTGTCATTTACACAGACACAAACAAACATTTACACACAATCACACATACATGCACACTTAGATTACTTAGAAACGAATACCCTCTCTACACACATGCACCCATACACAGACAGACAGACAGACAGACAGACAGACAGACAGACAGACAGACAGACAGACAGACGGGCGGGTGGGCAGGCGCTCGCGCATCCATCCATCCATCCATTAATCCATCACGTACGCACGCATGCGGTACGCCCGCACGCACGCAGCGCGCCCGCAGCCCGCCCGCATGCACGCACGCACGCACACACGCACGCACTAGCACGCGTGCATTCACGCACGCACGCATGCATTCACGCACGCATGCACGCACACATTCACGCACGCACACATGCACGCCCGCACGCACGCAGCGCACCCACACGAACGCAGCGCGCCCTCACGCACTCACGCACGCACGCACGAGCATTCACGCATTCGCGGATGCACGCACGCATTCACGCACGTGCACGCACGCATTCACACACGCACGCACGTGCACGCACGCACGCACGTGCACGCACACATTCACGCACGCACGCATGCACGCCCGCACGCACGCAGCGCGCCCGCATGCACACATGCACTCACGCACGCACACACGCACGCACGAGCACGCACGCATTCGCGCATGCACGCACGTGCACGCACGCATTCACGCACGTGTACGCACGCATTCACGCACGTGCACGCACACATTCACGCACGTGCACGCACGCATTCACGCACGTGCACGCAGGCATTCA